TCTTTCAACAGGTAGCTTCTTGCCACTAGTAGTAATGCCCTTGTTGCTAGTAGCGATGCCCTTGTTCCTCGTGTTCCTAGTAGTAGTGCCAGGAGCTTATAGTAGCTTCTTGCCACTAGTCATTGACGTGCTTCTCCTGGGGCTTCTTGTTCGCCTCTTTGGGCAAGGATCAAGAAGGTCTTCAAGCTTGTCCAGCTTCTGCCAATGACCTGTGTAATTACCCTTGGGCCGAACATAGAAGGCTTTCTGACTTTTGCACCTCCATACAGCCTTAATGACAGCCGGACCTCCGTGGCTTTCGAGGCACGAGTCATCGATGCAAAATCACCGTAACATTTGCCACATTGAACGATCGGGGTTCTTGAGACATGTTCGTTCCAAATGCTGCAGAGTACACGCAGCACGGATCACCTCTGCTCAAGACCAAAAGTTTGGTCTCCAAAACATCCCAATGCAATTCCGAGAACATCATATGCATCGCCGCATCGCATATTCTGTATGCGTGTTCCCCACGAATGGATTGCCTCCCCCACCCCCTGGTGAAAGTCACAGGCTTCTACAAAATAGTCGTGCACAAGCCACAGGAGACCTGTGGCGTGCCGAGCTTCTTTGAGACGCACTGATGTCCATAGTTCTTTCGAGATGTTGGGGTTGATGAAGAAGCCATACAGGGAGATTTTGCTTAGAGTTCTTCAAAATGTTGCACGAAAAAAAAGAAGTAGAATTGAAGATGAACTCCGCTAATGTTTATATAGGTCGTTCAGATTTTTCCAGGTACTGCCGAAAGCATTTCTGGCTTGGCAAACTGGCTTGCTTGGCACCGGCTGCAAGCCAACCGGCCCCACCGCGCAGGTCGGTGGTTTGCCAACGAAATGGGCAGCATCCACCAGACCTTCACCCAAGACGAAGAGTTACGCGGCGGAAGAAGCTGCCAGAAAACCCACGGAAAACCCGACGGACAAGTGGTGAACTTGGTAGTTTCGATCGTTGGTGAACTTGGTGCAGGTTTGACCATCCCTCATGAGGGTGTGTATCTCCAAATCTCAAGCTGCGCATAGCTCATGGAGGGTTTCTTTGAAACTAGCAGTCACAGCAGTCATGTGATAGTTACACCAGAATCTGTCCCATCAAGTCATCGCTTGGTGTTGAATTGCGAGGGCATGCAAAGGGCTAGGGTGTTCAACTGTTATTGTCCTCACAGCCTCACAGCACAGCTCTCCAGGGAGTCAGCTGCACTCAATGTGCACCCAGACAAGCATGGTCGTGTAACATAAGAGCTGCCTCTACCTTGGCAACATGATGTAACATGTGAAGCCATGCGAAGCCCGGGCCCTGCTGTAACCCGCGGGCGGCAGTCGCCAGCACTCCCAGCTGGCGCATGGGATGTGCAGAGTGGGATCCTTGTGGCCATAGTCAGCTGAAGACTTGGTGATGGAACCCATTCAAACCACCCATGTACCCACTCATTTGGCCCATACTCGTTGGATTTGCCCACAGGTGCTTGATGATAGCACTTTGGCCCGGCCGTAGCTTGGCTATTCTTGGCTGCTTCGCCCGCTTCCTGCTTCGTGGGGGCACGACATATCATAAGAAGGAAAGCATTAGAAACCTGGGCCTCGTGGAGTGTTTGGGCAGATTTATATGATCCATAGTAGTAGGCCAGGAGCTACTAGTAGCGTCCTTGCTCCTAGTAGTAAGGCCAGGAGCCTCTAGTAGCGAGCAAATGAAAAGCTCCTTAAACATGTATAACTTACATCTAGCAATTGGTAGGGATGGCAATATAACATGGCGTTGTTGTATGTTTATAGGTCCGCACCCTAGCTCATCCCCTTAACTGCAGGGGTGAGGTAGTGGCCTGTTGGTCCGCCGGTCCGTGTTGCACCCGGGTCCGACGCAGCCACTATAGGCCGTCTGGCAATGTATTGCAATCTAGCGCAACCACCTAATGACTTAGGTTCCAGGCCAGAGCGGGCTCAGGTCCATAAAGCAGGAGATTTCAAGACAAGTCCAATGAATTTTGATGGTCTTCCAGCTCCCAAAGCCCCTGCAAGGGTCGGAAGTTCGGACACCTCCACTTCCTCCACTTCCTCATGACGTCTCCTGATGAGCTATGCGATTTTGGCCACCAAAAACCGGTGCTGTGAGGCTATGTGATGTTCTCGGAAGATCAGCTACCCAAGAACGTCTTCATGCCGGTGGCGGGGCTTGAGACGTAGACTCAGACTCTTGAGACCTATAACCTCCCCCAATTGAATTGAACAACCTCTTCACAAGGGGGGTTTATTAATCAAGAGTCTACATTATCAGATATGATCAGATTTCGGCAGCTTGGATCAGTTCGATTCTGCTCGGAGGGGATGCATGTGCTCGGCTGTTGGAGCACAAAGCCTTCAAGAGGAATCTCTCCACTTCAAGATGCCAGACCAGTTGAAATTGGTGTTGGCTCCCCTTTTTTCACCAGTTAGTCCTGTGGTTGCAGTGGCAAGTGATTGATTGTTCGACACAAATTGCGTCCAACTGTGGATGGCATGACATGGGACGAACATGGCCATGTTCCCTTTTTGGTCTGCAGAAGGAGAAGTGGAGCAGTTCTAGCAGATATGATCCTTAAAAGCTCTGTTTAATTACTGTATGTTTAATTGGTTGAGAACAGCGGTAAACAGAAGAAAAAAAGTACATGAAAATGTCCAAGGAGTGGTCAAGAATAGACTTGGCAGCTGGGCAATCAAATTCTATGCCCATGCAATGATCTTACGATATCCCGGCTAACCTCTGAAACTCTCATATAGACGGAAGTTACGGTGCACATTCTCGGGAAGAAGGAAGTGATGTCAAAGGCCCCTTTCCCTTTCCTCAAGCCTTTGACATAGGTAAAGGATTAGAAATTTCCCTATCAAACCTAATTTCCCTATCCCTATCCCTTTCCCTTTCCTCGAGCCAGTAGCATTTCCAGAGAAGGAATGGGAGTGTTTTTTCTCTTCAGGGCTCCACAGATATGCCATTCTCATTCTACTCCTATTTTGTATATTTTGTCTCCACATACACTGACATGAGGGGGCAAACAAACATGCGTGATTTTGCCATGTCAGATCATTGGTTTTTTCAAAGGCTTTCCGAACAAAACATTTTTCTTGTCCACTTCCTCAGCATCCAACCGAGGTGAACCACTCCATCGACCAAGAGCAGCGCTCGATGTTCCTAGCTGATGCAAACTCTCTGCGAGAAAAGACACGAGCTCGGCGGTTGTGGGTGGGAACCACAAGTGCTCAAACTCATTTCAAGACCATCCAAACCAACCAGGTTGGAGGCCATCACTTTTAGGTTGGAGGCGGCTCTTTCAATCCACTAGATCCAAACACCCCAGTTGAAACACTTTCTACATCGCCCTCCGGAGCGGCGCTCGAGCATAGGAGCGGCGATGTGTACATCCAGCCCGAATTGGCACGTGACGCCGAACGAGACGTGACGCGTGAAGAGCTCTGAGAGTGGGGAAGAGACGCGCGGTTCGCGCACCACGCGCGAGACGCGCTTACTGTAGCGGCTTAGCACCTCTGTCAGTGGTTGGATCTGTGAAGATGGTGAAGGAGTTGGATGTGCAGACTCACAGGGTACCTTTCGGTGGGGTTTGGGAATGTGGAAGATGTATATAATTAGAAGTTGCTCTTCGCGCAGAAAGGTGTTTCTCGGTCTGAGGGGAATTAAAAGTCACTATCCCTTGACAAGACTTTCTTTATGAAACTAAGTCATAATATCATTTTACTTTTGATCCCATTCTTATTGACTTCAGTTTGTCATTGCCCCTCTTGCTCCTTTCATTCTGCTGATTCCTTTGGATGTCTTTTCAGATCCTTTCAGATACCTAAAAGGCCCAACTTTTGATTTCACTTTGGTTTCGCAAAAATTATGTACCAGTACGTATGGCTTCATGATGATTCCTTTCGATCTTTTCAGAAGATGTCAAACAATGGTTACTCCGATCACTTATACTTATACTATAGCATGTACTGCATGCATGTGCGACCTACTGACAGGAAGGGTGGCATTTGCTTCCACATTTCCGACATGTTCCATGGACATGTCAAAGGAACTCCCGACTCCACTGGTGTGACAAATGTGGTCAGGGGCAGTTCCTGCAATGCCTTTGATCCCGGTTTCCCCTTGCTGTCAATGTGGACCTACAAATGGTCATCCTGGCCCTACCTATTGGGCTCCGCAACTGCTAGTCTGTAGAGCTTGGCGCCGTGGACTCACCCCTGCCGTACAGAATGCATGGATGAATGCATGGATCCACATAGAATCTCGTGTGAAGCATCACCTCTCAAAGAAGACAACCGAGGGACGATCCAATGCGTTGGAGGTTCACTGACTTCAACCGTTGATTCATGGCAGCGTGGCGCACAGTCGCACCGGACCCAAGCAGCAGGTGGTGGCAGACATAGTGAAAAAGAGGTGGTGCGAACCTGCTAGGTGCTTTGTGGTGTTGTCTTCCAAAACCACAGCTCTCCCAGAAAAAAGAACACCAAGACAGGTCGCTTGACATTGTGTTTTTGGATTCAGGAAGTTTGCCTGCCAACATTGGCAGGCGTTTGACAGCTGGACAGGAGGGCTCTGGGGTTAGGTGAGTTATGGCATGGCTTGGGATGAACATGATTGACATCTAACAATTCTATCGGGCCTTTTCCTGCTGGAAGTTACGTCGTGTTTCACTAAGTTGAATAGAGTCGTGAAAGTCAAATTCTCCCAAAAGCTCTCCAGCAGTACAGGTATATAATTAACTACATTTATATATACACATCATATCAGTCGTTCACATCCATCAAAAACAAAGAAAGCACGGCAGACTATCAAACTCACTGACCAAGTCCCTTTGCTTAAAAAAGAAGTGAGCCCCCACTGCAATCAAAAAGGGTTATATATGTAGTAATAGAAGACTCTTGCTACCATCATCCATCTGTCGAGTTTCGCAAATGTCGACTCTTACACTTGCGGATTCGCCCAAGGCCAGGCATTTGCTACCATCTTTTCTCCAAGCAGAGGCGAATCTGCTCTTCTCTGGACAGTTGGGTACAGATCTGCAGGTCCTAGATGGTCCTACAGCGATTGAGCAAGGGATTCGAGGTGGTTCAAGTGACGCCCACAGACCGAGCATGACTTTGGGAAGCTTGGATGGTGACTTTCTTTGTGAACTGTTGACCTTTGACTGTTCTGTATCTCCCTTTCATCAACAGCATACTCTTACCAAAGCAACGGTTATATAGCTTGGTTCACATTTGATTTGGAAGGTTAGAAGATCCTCGTCAGAGTACTACATGACCGCGCACGACGCACACAAAACTTGTTTTTACAGTAATTATTCCGCAGTATTCATGTATAATCATAAGAAAAAATTGAGCATTATCTAGAGTGCATATTGTAAATTGTGGTACTGTAATATTGTTTGGGTCACTTTAAGAAAGTAGACTAGTTGGTTTTGAATATATAAATATTGATTTGGTGATTATCATTGTACGAATACCACCGACCTCTATTTTATCTTACAGTAATCCAAACATAATGGAACAATGAAAAGATGGACTTAGAATGACTTAGATTTACACAGGATGGGACACTCGAATTTCAGGTGGTCGTTTCTGACCGTTTGCTGATTAGCCAACTAATTTATGCAGTCGGTCAGTGTTTCCCAAGGCCGACACTGTAGAGTCAAAGTCGAGTGTCACTTGTTGTTTTTCAGTAAGTAAGCGGCCTTAGGAAGTCTCACCACCGAGCAACACTGCCGATGAAAGGAAGTCTCCCGAAGGAAAACACGGACCGATCAACCTCGTCCACGACCGATCAACCCGGGTTTGGTTCTGAGTCCCGGTATCAATTATGAATTGAAAGTGATCAGGGTCCCAAACCAGGTTTTTCTGATTCCTTAGGGGCCCTGCCAACCAAATAGTCAACGGTGATGCTCGCCACCAGGGATACTGACACCACTACATGACTGCTTGGTTGCCGTAGTGTGCGGGCTTGGAGCTTCAACATCAGGTTTCTTGGAAAATTACCTTGCTATAACAAAACCAACTCGAAATACAATCTACAACACTTATGCGAGCTCTATATATATATATACATGCTTGCTGAATGTTTGGTTGTTGAGTCGGAGTTGAATGCTTTGGACGTGTACACCAGCTCCACACCCCAAAGAACTTTCAGTAGTATTGCCAAACAAAATTAATTGGGTGTGTTTGTAACCCTTGATTGATAAAGCAACTTTTGTTTGTAAAGCAACAGAACCTACCACATCTTTCACTAACTCTCACTTAGACTTCTGGTCACCGAAGAAGTGACGTTCACTTTCCATGGGGGTACCCAGCTGGTACTGGGCTACCGGCCGACAGGCTGGCCATGTTGGATGAGCACCGGCCAGCAGAGATGCTGCGTGGGGAATCCAAACCGGATTGAGGAAGTTTTGGAAGCACAGATTCTTTTTTGGGCGACTTGGAGACCTTTGTTGCAGACAGATGGAGATTCGGATGTAACATTGTCTGCAGGTTACACATGTTGGTTGAGAATGCACCTTGGGATGTTTGCCCTTGGCAAAGTTTGCACACGGTCGACCTGTATACATATACACATACTATGAAATGGAACCCTCAGCTCACTACATTGTTCAGGCCACTCCATAGAGTCTAGAGGTCACCATCCGGTGCTGCATAAGTCCCGTGGTTCGAAGTTTCCACAGATCAAACACGACATGGTTGACTCTTCGACTTCAAGAGAGATCCAGTGATGCGTGCCAGGTCGCGACGCTACAAATACTCATTAACGTGTTTTTGATGGTTTTCGGACGGTTTTCGGCTTTGTGTCTTCCCCAAAAGAATCCGGATTTCCCCAGTCGTTCCTGCACAGAGTTCGCCAGTGAACTGGACCGAGACGGTCGGGAGACGTGTTTTCAATGGTGTAGACCGATTCCAGAGCTGGTTCAGAACCTTTTAAGATATTTTTTAGATCGTTTTGGTTTCTGGTATAATGTATATATATATATATATCAACCAGGTTGCTTTTCGGATAGGACATCCTGCAGGGTGTTGCAGGATGTTATCCTGACCTTTGACTTTTGTTCGGCAGGTCCAATCTTGAGGAATATGATCAAATCCTGCACCTGGGATCCGTGCCAAGCTATGTAAGTCATGGGATTCTATGTAAGGCATGGGATTCCGACTATGTAAGGCATGGGATTCTGATCTATCCCTGCTATTGGAAGGCATGAGTTTCTCTCAATCATCAGTTCTGCAGTCCAAGGCTCAGCGTTGGAGGACGTGTGTAGCTTGGCAGCGACAGAGTGATTTCAAAACGCAGTCGGCTTTGGATTGGTTGCGGTCAACGGTTTGTTGACGTCATGTTGATGCATAGAGGCCATGAACATGTTGTTTCTTTGCAAACCACATGGCATTTGGGGTATATACCATGTTAGTAAGTTGCCCCACAGAAGGAATATTCATCTTGGTATCGCCAACATGCCATCCCAATCCACATCTCAGAGAAACTTCAATCTCCTTTAAAGGTGTACAACTACATAATCCAAATCTGCTCACATTGACTGAGAAAAGATCCTAGTTGGATTCATGCAGAACGCCAAGGCAGCCAAGGGTACCATGATCTGTAGGGAACACCTGAGGCCCTTGGGTATCCTTGGGTGGTAGGCAGAAACCGGCTCAAGTTAAAGACGTTTTTCTTGGTGAAATCGGTAGTCTGATTCACTGATGCATAGTGCATATATGTTGTGTTTCTTCTGTGTTGCGGCCACACATCAGAGTGTCTATAGGGTGATTTGCGCGCAACTATACAAAATCTGTCCTGCCTTAGATCCTACATTGTACTTGGCACCATCTAAGAAATCCTGTGACAACAGTGAAATAATCCTGGTACTAAACAACACAGGCGTTTGGACCTTTTACCCCGGCAGCATGTTGGAGCTTCGAACATGTCACCACACGCGGTTTTGCCATCCATGTGTCATTTCATCATTCAGTCGACCAGATGCTAGCGGCCTTCAATGCTCCATGTGTCATTTCCTCCACGTGGAAGGAATCCACAAAAAAGAGAACCAACTTCCCCAAAAGGCCATACACTACTAGGAGCGGCATCGCTACTAGGAGCGGCATCGCTACGAACGGGGCTCCTGGCATCGCTACGAGTCCGGAGCATTCTTACTACGAAGGGAACGTTCGAAAGGCCACCGGATGGCGTTCGAAGCGGAGTCCGGACTCTTCGAGCATCCTCCAGGCCTTCATGCTCAACTGGTGCTGGCCAGGCGCAGCTCCCAGGCGAGCGTCCGAGCGTCCAGATGTGGTGTTGGTTGGACAATGAGAGAAAATTGAGAGAAGTGCTCAGGTGAGCTACTGAAGTAAAGCAAATTTGGGACATGTTTGGACCAGGCAACATCCGAATGTGTCCAAAATTGCTTGCTCTGACCAGGAAGGGCTCCTGGGCTTTCTGCGCCGGGCTCCAGATCCGCCGGAGGAGCGCAGCGTTGGGTCGCTCAGTGCTTTGCGGCGAGCGCTCAGTGGTTTGCGTTCGGATGTGCCTTTCAGGGGGTTGAATCAGCATGACTCTCTTCAATGATTTCCTGGTTTGGTGGGTAAGTTGGCACAAAATAGTCTTGCCTTAGCATAAAGACATCCTGTCCGCGTACGTTGCTCAGGCGTGATTGGTTGAACCGTACTTGCACCGGAAAAGTTTGCAACAGAAACAGCTGGCTGAGGGTGGTCTTGCTTGCGGTGACACGAGGTGACCCAACAGTTCAGTCCAGAGTTGGTGACTTGTTCAGCGAGTTGTTGAACTTGGGAAGAATATCAACCTGATAGAAGCTTATATACAGAAATTCATAGAACCTTATAGAACCTGTTTGACCAGCAAAGAGGCAGCCAAAACATGTTTGAGGACCTTGAGGCTGGGAAGACATGAAGAGGAATCATGAGGAGTCATGAGAGGTCCTTCAACCTGCGGATCCCTTAAAGGCCGTCACAAGATGTCACGCTTGCGGACTTGTTCCTCGTTCACACGGTGGTTTGTTGCAGACATTGACCTCAAACTCTTCCCATCAGCCCAGATCAGTCCATCGGTTCTTTGTTGATCGGCACATTCTCCTAGGTTCGCAATGGACAACAGCTTCTGCGTGAGCCTTGCGCCTAGACTAGAGATCCTGGTCACGATGAAAAATTGAACTTTCTTGTTGACAATTTGGAACCTCTGTTGATGTTCATCAACTATACTTGAAACATGTTGAATTATTGGTTCTTTGTTGACCACTTCTTGAAGAATGTGATGTGAGCATCCGACAAAATCTGCGAAGACTAAAGTAGTCACAGGGTGGACGTGGGATAGGACACCTGCATGAAACCTGCAAAGGGGGCGGACCTGTCTACCGATGCCCTTACATCCTTTAAACCCACAAAATCTGCATAAACGATGGGGTCCAACTCGTTCTAGGCCATGAGGCCATACAAGATTTGTTCTGGCACTCATTTGTTTTTCTATGTCCCATAATTATTGTCCCAAATTCTGGAATTCGGTGTCCCGTTCATGTTGGCTTCACAGCAACTTCTTGTGGAAACAAACATCTGGTTTACGGGATCTGGTGGAACAAAAGTCTTTATGACGTGCAGGATGTGACGGGGATGTGTGCAGGATGAACCCAACTATACTCTATAGTCTATAGACTAGAGTAGACTCTTGATTAATGACCCCCCTGCCAAAATGGTTTTGCATCTCAATATGGGGGTTTGATATATCAACTGTTGATTAATTAGCTGATCATTGATCTTCTAGAGCAGAAGCGGGTGCTCTTGCGCCACTGCTCATTATGTGTTTTTCTCACAGACATCCATGCGCCTTGTGTCCTGAAACACTGCTACTGCACCATCCTTGATGGATTTTCTAGCCAAATTTGACGTTGCTATATAGACTTATAAGCAAGGGATCGCTGACATTGAAGGCAACTAGCAGAAGCGTGACTCTTTAGCACATGGCCTACCATGGGCTGAGACAGGAAGCTGCCATTTTGCAACATGTCCAACAAATCTTGATTTAACTATTCCTGTCTCCACCATCCGGTCCAGGATTGGCGCCATTACTGAAGACCAGGACCATCTCCCATGGCCATGGGAAAGTTGTTTGCAAACGTATTTTTTGGAGAACAAATGCATAGACGTGGTACAACTCCCGTTCGTTGACACGCACAGATTGTGGGGTGCGAAGACATTTCTCATTTGGATGCGATCTCTCAGCTTGATTTGGTCTTCATGTGGAAGAAGTCACTGAAATCAGCGCAGTGAGTGGAGAGGTCCTCCGAATGCCAGGACCGCAAAGCGATTGGACTCACTGTGGGGACCTCAATGCCAATGCTTGACGCGTCCAACTCGCACCCACGAGAGTGCGGTGGCACTGCCACAGGCGTCCACAATGTTGTCTGTTTTCAGAGACGCCTCATGACTGAATGGTTTCCTCACCATTTTCAGAGGTGATAACTACATCTTGAATCCTTCGAGGAAAAAGGCAGGCTTTGACATGGCCTGTATGCAGGCTGTGATCGTGCAAATATTATACATTCAATTATATATATATAACATATAACTATAAATATACACATATTATAATACATATGTATATATTTGCATTGTCAGTTTCGGGAGTATTCTACCTTAACTGAATATGACTGAATCGGTGGTTTGGTATTTATTGTTGTCATGTCTGGAAATCGCCGGTTTGCAGGCTTATGAGGCTCACCAGAACCATGCAGATATAAATCCTTCACAGGGTGCAGTGATTAGGTCTTCCCTGTTGAACTCCTTTGGGCCAATGCTTTGTTTTGACCATAGCTCTGCCACATGCTTGTCACCGTTTGGACTTGCAGAAACTCCCGTCAAGAACAACGCATAGAACCTCCACGGCTTCAATTGCTCCTGGCAAGATGGTTAAGCTGCTTTTGGGGTCTAACTACCTTTTGAGGATGTGGTTGAAGCCCTTTTGAGGATGTGAAACCACCTACAAGCACGTGCAATCTAAGCAAACCTTACAAGGTGGCTTCGGACCAACTATTGTGGCACCCCAAAACACCGCTTGTCATAAATTTGGAGAGCATCAACGGGGGCTGCAAAACGTGTGTCCACCGGTGTCCACCGGTGTCCACCCAAAGCATTGATCGCTTCCCACCGCGACAGACGTCCGTGAGGCTCTCGGCGTTCATCTTTGCTCGCTGCCCCTATCGCCCGAGACCCCAAAACCCCGAGACCGCGACGGGAAGAACTACCGAACTCGAGGGCAGTGAAATCAAGGTCGGCGATTCTTGCGCATGTTGAAAGAGGAGTTCAAGTTCAATTTCTGCACGCCATATATCACCATATGTAGGGGGTATAGACACCGGATAGAGTTCTTTAGGTGAGCCAAGGCTGTCATGTTATTTCGTTGGGTCAAAGGTGCAGAATAATTAGTTCAATGGTTTGTTTTGTGCATCCTGTTTGGGTATCACCTGTGACAATCCTGAACCCGGCGGAATTCTTGAAATTACTTTATCTCACCAGTGCTTTGCTGTGCTTTAAAAGCCAATGAAACAAGACATGTGGCACACGTGTCATGGCTGTTGCTATGCACATCTCATGGGTACAACTTCTGAAAGTTTGTGATCCTTATCCTCTTGATACAAGACTTGCCACTCAGCGCAACACTCCGTTTGTTGGAGATTTAGACCCGGCCGAACCAGCCGGCATGTTCACCCTTTTTGTGCTCCGGATACTCCTCTCAGGGCAAGGCTTGCGTAGAGACGCTCCAGAAGGGTAACCCCAAACAATGGGTCCTACTTGGTCCGAACGCCTAAGAATCAAGGACCCTCAAAGGTTTCAGGTTTTTTGGGGCTCCCCCTTAAACCAGTTACTCTTGTTTTCCCGCCAATCCACGCGTGCGCAGATCCTCCCCTCCAATCCACGAGTCTCTCGGCTGCCGCAAACACTCGCGCAGTCCGCAACTCGCGAAGACGGTGATTTGGGCGATCTTGCTGCTTGGCGGTGAACTCGGTCACTTGAGGAGTCCGGAGTTTTGGCAGTTGGCACATGAAACAGACTGAGATGAGGTAAAAGATTCCAGACACTCCAGCTGCCTGACCCCTGAAATTACACCAATGTAATCCAATGTAGGTGTATATAAGCGATACATGGAGTGTTGGGGATGGTAAAGGGATGTAAAGATAGCCATGGCAAGTCTGGCAATGCCTTGAACATCCTTGAACCCTCCTGACCACCTGTCAGCCCGTCCCGCCATCTTTTCACGCAGCCACAGCCGCTCTGAAGTTTGGCTGAACTCTTCTACGAATACCAAACTATCACAGCCCACTTTGGAAGAAGGGATGCGGGGTCCCATGAAGGACGAGCCTATCGAATCCATGTTGCGAGTCACCAAAAACAGACGTGGGTCATGGATTTCTTTGGATGACTTCAGGCTAGGCGTTGGTGATGCCGCGATTACCATCGCCCGGACACCTGGAGATGACCGGAGATGACCGAAGTACGACTATTTCATTACTTGTTTGATCTTGTTTGGTATTGCTACTCTGTCCTGGAGGAAGGGTCTGCGGAAAGTTGTTTGATCTCGGTATTTGTGACAAGGTGTGATCTAAGCCTTCAACTCCGAACACAGGAAAAGGCCTAATTTATGAGGATCCATGAGGATCCTGCAAGAAGAAGTGAAACATGAAAGGATCGAAGAATGTCGAGGAAATGGACGGATCGACGAAAACATGCAGGCCTGACACAATCATGTGAGTGTACTTCGTGTATTCCCCGAAGACGTTTGAGGCAAGCCACGTTGGGTGGAGTCCTAAGCCACGAAGCCCAAAGCACCTGTCACAACATATGGCAGAGATGACACGAGTTTTGTAGTTTTGCCGATTGAAACTAGAAGTGAAAATATGGGTCTAGCAATGACCCAATTCCATGCATCGAAACCACATATTCCAATCTTTTGAATGGAACTTCTCGGGTGCTTCGCGACGAACGTCGACCGTCGACTGCCCTCTTCGACTCCGGCCACCGTGTTCACGGCCGTGAAATCACGGCCACCGAGGTGAGCGGTTTGCAGTAGCCTGGCAGCCAGAGCTCCAAGACCTCCATAGCCCTGTAGGAACGTCCCCAAAAGGAGCTGAAGAGCTTCACACCCCATGAATGAATGACACAATGTGACAATGATACAAAACTTTTGTGCGTGCCCGCGCAGTGTTTCCGAATCTGGAATTGCTCCGTTTGTGAGATTCTGATGTTTGTGCGACAGAAAGTGTATTGCAATGGGCAGAAAGGATCAGAGTGCTCCGTGGAAGGGATCACTGCTCCCAGTGTTTCGATTTATTGACAGCCCAATGTAGATTTACCCAGTGTCCTATATTGAGAGGCGCAATAGGACCTCGAGTATTTCCGTTTATGGCCAGCAAATGTTACCCGCTGTAGGGGTCACCCAGGTCTTTGGCACTCAATGTCACCAGTAATGTTCACACTAAACACTCATTCCCGGCTAGATATGTGCCTTTGCGAAGCATCCTAGGTCGGTGTGTACCTGTTTAGGGGTGGATATCACATGTTTCGTTTGTAATTATGAATGGCACGTGATATATATATATATATATCATTATACCTTCAAAGTGACATCTTCGGAGTCCCTGTTTGTGACCTCTTCAGGGACTAAGTGACCTCATCCTGGGATCTCAAAAAAGTCAGTTTGAAAGTCCCTGTATACGTATACAAGCTATATGATATCCACTTCATCATGATACATGTCACATGTCATATATCGAACGTAAACATATGCATGTATCACATATATATATATATACACTTACCACACCCGCAATAGATGCATCGCCTGCTTCCTAAAGACCAAAGGATCATGGCCGGACAGAAGAAACTCAGGTACCGCGAGCCCTTTGTGAGCCTCGGGAACACAGGGCAAAGCCTCTCGCTCGCAGAGGCGGGGAGCACGTGCTACTGCAGGTTCTTTTTTGTTGGGCCGTGTTCAGGAAATATCACTAAACATGATGGATCTACAAAACAATCTAGGTTGCAATGGAATCCTGCCTCATCACAGTTACAATGGGACACCACAGTAGTCTGGAAACATACCAAAGCATGTCAGATGGTGTTTCTGGGAGCAGAAGTAGCTCGTGTTCATGCTGACTCTAGTGCTGCTGCTTGTGCTGATCACCCGCGACGGGAGAGCGTCGTTTCTTGGCAGAAGTGTTGCGTACTTGTTGCACAACAAACAGGGAGCTTTGTGCCGGAGATATCAAGACTTGTCCACCTGAAGCAGCTGTTCCATCCCACCGCACGAGGCCAATCGGGCGGTGTTGGGCGGCCCAGTGAGCTGACTGACCGAGGAACCCATCGGTGGGCTGGATTCACCATTGACCTCCCAATGGCCGCGAAGTGGAGAATCCATGGTACTTCAATTAGGTACCAGGCTGTGAACAACACCCTTCCAGGTACCTTGCAGTGTACGTAACACCGACAGGTTTTCACATGTATTTTTGAACAGAAAAAAGCATCGACAAGTGTTTGGACACATCGGCAACTCTTGGAAAAGCAAGGGGTTTTGTTCAGTGTAGGACAGGAGTCGTCCACTTCACCGGGGCCGAACCGACACTGGTGCTAGAGGGACCCTGGAAGCAGTGAGTGTAGGAAGATTGGTCCTTCCAGGCGTTTTTTTGGGTGCCAAAGACTCGGAACGAGCTCCATCTCAGGCGCTGGGCCAAGCAGCAACTCTCCCCCGAAGGCCGTGTTTTTCCAGATGGGAAGATGGGGGCGTTTCAAAGCAGGTGCGGATGGACCATGTGGATTTCAGTAGTGGACTATGATCATTTGAGAATCTTTTGGGTGGTATCTTTGTTGGGATCCACTGGTGCAGATGAAAGTGAAACTTGTGCTGTGAGAATCAGTGGATGACCCTTCTCCAGTCATCAGCGGATGCTCAGATCATATGCTAGCTGCTAGGCCCGGCCGGATTTCTTGAATCTTGGTGACAAAGAAGGTGGATGGCTAGGACTTCTTGCTTGCAGAATGTCGTTGGGTCCACAAGGGAAGAGCTTTTTTGGCGAGGATTGGCCCAAAATGGATACTTCATTGGAAATTGAGGTACAACAGAAGTGATGACCTGACAGCAGTGTAGCAGTGTATTACTGGTTCTGGAGCTTTAACAAACTCTCCGGAACACTTTTCGTCGTCTTATGCTTAGTAACGTCTAGTGTTCTTACGATCGGGACCCCGCAATAGATTTAACAAGTAGATCAGTAGATCCTCTCCAAAACAGTTTGGACCTATCTATGAGGTGTTTGTTCTGTTCAGGACCACTATAATATGGGATGTCTCATTTTGATTTCCTCATCACTGGACGCCCCGAGCATGCACATGCTCGAAGCGCCAGGCTCAGACCATTTGGCACTTGGAGCGGCCAGTGAGGCCTTTGAGGTCGCACTGGTCCCTGTGGGTGGAGAAAGCCGGTCCCATCGTGGGTTTTATGGGATCTCCAAGTGGATAGATAGCAAGCATTTTTCGTTGAACATGTATAGTTGCATACTTTTGACTTGGGATGCCAGCATAGAAAATGGTCTTTTGCTCCGATGCGTACTTCATATCTCACTTCGTGCGGAACGTCTACTTTCTGTGCGACCCAGAACGGTACTCCATTGGTCGACTCGTTCCGGGATGGTTTCGGCGGACTGACACTGAAGTCGACAAAAGCGCTGGGTCCGCTGGGTCTTGGACACTTGCGTAGTCGTTTCCACCATTGATGCATGTGTTGGTGTTCTACACGCAACTTTTGTATACAGTACTTTTGTTGGGCCGCGTTTTTTTTAAAGGATTTTTTTCCGTTTTTTGGGGGAATTTTTTTCTGGTCCTGTTGTGGGCGCCTTCCCTCAGGCTCGTGTCTCCAAAATGATAGTTGTTTCTCCGTGCGAGACCCCAGAAGTGACATAGGACTCCTCCAAAACGAGCGTTTCGTCCAAGACTTCCGTCACAAGCAACAGGGGACGTCTCCAGGTATCCTTTCGTGCCAGACATCGGGCTTTCTTTCCTTCCTTCCTTTCTTGCTGCCTTCTTTCCTTCCCTTCCCTCCCTCCCTTCCTTCCTTCCTTCCTTCCCTCCTTCCTTTCTTCCTTCCTGCATCACATAAGCAAAGCAAGGATAGCGAACAGCCACAAAAGCAAAAAGCAACAAAAGCCAACAGAAGCCTTCGAAAGTCAACACAAGTCACCAAAAGCCAACAGAAGCCAGCAAAAACCAACAGAAGCGAGCAACAGCTACCAGAAGCCACTAAAAGCCACCAGAAGCCAACAAAAGCCACCAGAAGCCACCAAAATCCCA